GCGGTGGCGTGAAGGTGTCAGATCCCGTGGAACTGGAGTTGCAGACAGTTGTGAGCGGCCATGTGGGTGCTGGGAATCAAACCCGGGATGTCTGGACAGTAAGTGGTCTGTGCTCTTAACCGCTGAACCATCTCTCCAGCCCCCAATTTTGTTCTTTTTGAGACAGAGTCTCACACCACAGTCTGAGCTGCCCTCGGCAGCTCTCTTGCTTCGGTCTCCGGGCTGCTGAGGTTACTGGCCGACCCCAGCACGTACCACCACTTGCAGCGTTTATGAAGCGCGAGTTTGTAGGCTGAGACCCAAAGGTCACTAAAAGAAGGGCATTCCTGCCCAAGACCCGGGGCAGATGTCCTGAAGGTTATGGGAACCTGAGCAGAACTCTGGCAGGACTAGATAGGGAGCTAAAAAACTTGCTCGGTTATTATGTCTCCCTGGCCTCACCTCTTCCTGAAGGAAATCGTTAGATGTTTATGGTTGGGTTTTGTGTTCCTGCCTGGTCTAACCTCAAACTCAGAGATACGTCCTGGGCTGTATAAGAAAGCAGGCTGAGGAAGCCATGAGGACCAAGCCAGTGCCATTCATCCATGGTCTATGCTTTGACTGCCTGCAGTTTCTGCCCCGACTTTATTTCGTGATGGACTACAACTGTAAGGTATAAGGTGAAATAAACTCTTTCCTCTCCATTTTGTTTTCTGTCTCTTTTTTTTTTATCACAGCAATAGAAAAGCAAACTGAGACACCTTCCAAAAGTTAGATGAGAAGTGACACTGGCTAGGAAGCACGTCAGTCGAGCTGCCCGCACGTGGTTCACGGAGCTCTGCTTTTTTGAGTGGTCACTCACACTGGATAGGCTTTTCAGTGTTGCATCTATGTTTGAGTCGCTCATGTTCTGTAAGTAAACTCCCACCCACATTCATGTAAGTAACTTTCTTTGCTCTGTCCCTAGTGCAGGGTGAATAGACGTCTATTAATGTCTCCCCAGGATAAGTCACGCCACATCAGGTGTGTGAGTATTAGCATTCAGCCTGCAAACATCTCTTGAGCTACTTTGACAATCAGGGTACCTTGGCAGGAGGACTGAGTGCAGAAACAACTGGACAGCAAGACAGGAGGAACTCCGTGTCTACATTTTGGGAAAGGCTTCACTGTGCTGAAATTAAAACGCAGAAGAGACAGGAAAATTCTTTATTTGGCAACTATGTATACTCCACAGGACAAGATTCTCAATTTGATGTTTCATTGGCACACACTAATAATGCAGATCATTAACTGTCTATTCAGGAAAGCATCACTAAGCAGAGTTCAAAGTTCATGCCTGTCAACGGCCATGCAACACCTGGAAAAGCAACAGAGATGGAGACATCCTATAAGCCCACTGGACCTCTAAACATTGAAATACAAAGGCAAGATAGGATATGTAAATGGGACATAGATGCCAGTCTTACAGCATCAAGTGACAATCAAGGAGCCTGTGTATGGGTTAGGGTTGTGTAACTTGGTTTTCTTGTGGTACTCCTAACAGTGGAAGCAGGGACTGTCTGACCCTTTTCCTCCTATGGGTTGCCTCATCCATCCTTAATATGAGGGGAGGTACCTACTGTTATTGCAACTTGCTATGCCATGTTTGGTTGATATCCCTGAGAGGCCTGCCCTTTTCTGAACAGAGAAGTGGATCAGGAGGGGAAACTGTGGTGGGGATGTAATGTATGAAAGAAGAACAAATGAGTAAAATTTTAAAAATGGCATTCCTTCGGTTCCAGTAACAGGCACTGCATTTCCATGATAGACATGTTGGGATGTGATTTTGCAAGGCACATAAACTGAGAATTCTCAGCAGAAGTAAAAGAAGAAGTTCATTTTCTTAGAGGGATCCGAGAAGGTCCGGAAAGCCTAGCCAGCCCTATTCCCTGCCCATCCCAGCACTCCATGAAGACTGAATGCCCAGGTCATCCAAACCAGAGTACAGGAGCCTCAACATATCAGGGTGTTCAGAAAGTTCCAGGCAAGACAAACTGCACTAGCTTAGAAGTGGTTATAGGGAGCATTACTCTCCAGGCCGAGGTTTTTGCCTCCAGGTTGAGTCAAAGCCACGAGAACAGAAACATACCACTTCCATTATTAAATAAGTCCAATCTTCATAGGCCAAATCCACTGCCCATGGCAGCTTAGAATGCCAAGGAAGGAAGTGATGAGGAAAAGAACTCACATTTAAATGAGTTCTCTTTGTTTGACATAGGGAAAAACCATTGTGAGGTCACCAACACTTCTGCATGGAGAGGTACCGGAAACTGACACCCATCTATGGCTCTGCTAGGAGATGTCCCTGGAAAAAGCATCCAGCTCACAGACGCTCACAACCCTTTGTCCCAGTTATAAGAAAGTTAACAGAGAGATTGCTCAGCAGTTATGAGCATTGGCTGTTCTTCCAGAAGACCAGGGTCCAATTCCCAGCACTCACACACACCAGCTCAGAACCTTTTGTAAGTCCTGTCCCAGGGAATCCAACACCTCCTGACCTCTGAAGGTACCAGGCAAGCAAATGGTACATAGACATACATGGAGTAAAGCACCCATACACAAAAAAAGAAGAAAGTCTCATTCTCAAGGGAGACACTCTCTGTGCCTGGTTTGGCTGCCAACATGTCAAGGCTCCGTCTCTACCTGAGCAGACATCCACAGGTGCACTGGCTGGCTTCAGGAGGACCTGCTGTCCATAATGCTACAACACTTCGGTGGCGTAGAGAACCCTTACCCCTGCCGCATCTGGGCTGGCTCTCCTCCATCTTTCAAGTGCCTTTGAGAATGGGTCACAGTTCCTAAGTCCTGATTTAGGTAAAGGTTCATGCAACATACCCCTTAAGGAGCATTACTCCAATCCCGCCATAATAGCCATGCCACAGGGTTTTAAACAAGTTACCTCCATCTCAGAAATCAGACAACTTTGCACACTGTGGAAAATGAGCCCCGATCCCTGAAGCGGTACAGAGAATGCTCTCCCTGCTAGCTTTGGTGACCAGCTGTTTGCCAAGAAACTGGTGGAACTAGGTTCTCGTGGCCATTTTACCCAAAGCCTTACGCCATTTCTCTGAAGATTGGCCAGTGAGGACTTGAAGTAGCCAAACAAGGGGACAATACTCTTGCAAGAAACAGCTGGAGTGCTCGGCATTGGCAGTCTTTTCTCTGCAAAGACTTCCATTTCCATACTGTTGAAATGTCTTTGCTTATTCTTAATGTGAATTGTTTCCACCTAGTAACTGTTTGGGGAATAATGTCTATAGACAACTATGATTCCTATCTTCACTCCCTCGAAAGTATTTCCAGGTAGTCCAGAGTATGTAGAAAGTAAGGGACAGGACTAACTTCTGGGAGCTCAGAGGTCAAGGCACACGGGGAGGCACACAGTGCTCTGCACCTTAGTTTTGGCTGTGACACAAGGTGGTTGGACTTGACGGTTTCTGGTGTTCTAAAGCCCTGGATTTTTCTTTTTTAAACAGAAAGCAACATTCCCTGGAAGATGTGCCTGTGCCCACCATCACCATGGTTCACCCTTAGGATTATAGGCCTGGGGGTGTTAGTGGTCAGGGACCTTCCTTGTTCCTGTGGCTTAGATATGGCCTGATGTCAGCACTGGGGAAATGCAGTGAGAAGATAAGGTACCCTAGTCATTCTCTGGCCATTTGGGGAAGCATTTTCACTCCCCTTATGGTGCAGAGGAGGACTGAAAGGTGAGTTGCCAAGGGCCACACATCAATGCACTGGCCCATCCCGTCATCTGATCTCAGCGTGTCACAAAGGAAACAAAATCTCATGAATTGCAGGAGGCAGAAGTCCAGAGAAGGATTCCGAGAAGAATAACTTGGGTCCATCCCCACCATCTCCCCAGGATAGACAGAGCTAGCAGCGAGGCCACTGACCCCCTCACTCTCCTGGGGTGAGATCATCCTCTTAGGTGACATAAGGGCACTGCTACCTATCCTCCAGGAGTTTCTAGAATCTCTTATTCCTCTTAAAGAGGCTCACACCCCATATCCGGGCAATGCTGCCTGAATACAGCATCTCAATCACATAGTTGTTAAGAACATGCTCTATGAATTGGACTATGTTCCAGAGGTATTGTATGGTCTCAGTAAAGGATACTGTCAACATCAGACACAAAGCTGGAGGCTGACTTTGTCTCCCACTGTCCCCCACATCAATGGTCAATATTTCTGCAAGCCCTATAGCTAGCACCGTGTTCGACATCACTCAGCCAGCTGCTCTCACCTGGCCCTACACATTAGTAGCTTCCTCACCCCACTCTGGGATATAAAATACAAGGTCCCAGCATTGTCACTCACAAACAGGAGGCCTAGGCAAATACCACTGGAAACTAACATTAGCTTACAAAACCAAAAGCTTAATGTGATGCTTTCTTGGTGTCTAAAGATGAGGATGGCCAGCCATCTAACTATGCAAGGGTATCTACATGTTATAAGCTGTAAGTTCTGCACAGAACATATGGAAAGGAAGAGATGGGGACTTCCTTTGGGCTCCTCACCCCACCTGTAGAATCTGAAATACAAAGCCATGTAGATGGGGGGTGGGCACAGCAGCTGTCCCAGTTCTAGCGGAAGGGATCCCAATCCATACTTGGCATGCTAGCAGATACTACATTTCCCACACTTGGCATGGCTTCTGCAAAGTGCACGGTTATCAGCAAGAGTCAAGGTACACAGTGAAGCCCCAGGAATGGTCCTTGAAACGCAGCCAGCCTTACTCTCCAGGCCCAGCCAGCAGTCAACAGTGATAACCCAGGCCAAGATAAGGGTTCTCTTTATACCAGGCCAGACCACGCTCTCATGTCCCCAATGGTCTGTGTATGGGTGTGGAAAGCAGCCAAAGCCTGCACCCCAGATTTTAGCAAACATGAAACTGCAGCCCCATGAACAGGAAACACCCTCTAGAGTGTCCAGGAAGCCAAAGGGGGATTACAGAAGCCAAGAAGTCATGTTGGGAATATGTCCTCTTCAATTATTTGATTTCATATTTATTCATGAGGCTGGGGAAGAAAAAAGTGTGCAGTAAAGTCACAGACAAAAGAGGTATTTGGCAGTGGCATCTACTGGGCCACAACTCTGTCAGGAGTCCTCTCCAGAAGGGCTTTGGGCAGGCTCAGCAAATGTCCTGGATTCTTTGTTTCAGTCACAGAAATGTCATAACGGTTCCTTTCTTTCCAATCTGCCAGGGCTCCAAGGGGATGAAGCGGATCGTTATCCTTTAAGGAAGCAGAAAAAGAGATGTCAACTCCTTGATAAACTCATCTGCCAAAGTCCCTAGCAAACGTGCCAGGCTAAGATCTCAGGCCAGCCTCCAGCCTGGTCTACAAGAGCTAGTTCCAGGGCAGCCTCCAAAGCCACAGAGAAACCCTGTCTCGAAAAACCAAAAAAAAAAAAAAAAAAAAAGATCTCAGGCCAGCCTCTATCGGCCCATAGGGTATTTTACCAGTCTGCCCACCCCAGTTAATGATCCTTGCACTGAGATGGTCAGGTGCAAGACAGTGGCTATACATAGGCCCAGGACAGACGTAACTCAATGGTAAGTATACTTCAGTATATTCTGTGCACAGTTGCATATGTCAGGCTTATATGGGCTAAGAGGGACAGTCCTCCTACTAACTGCAGGCTCCTGTGAGCATGCCCAGGGCACCGGCCATTAGTTTTTAACCAAAGCCCAGCTCAAAGCCAAGCGAAGGTCAACCCTGATTCAAATCTATGGAATAAATGATCCAATAACCACAGAGATAAAATTTTAAAAAAGGTGCCTAGTGATAGTCTGGTACCAGGGGGGACAGACAGGGCTGACACCCACAGGTTCCCATCTGTAAAGTTGGTCTAAGGCAGTTAGCTATCTCATGAAGAAACCAAATCTGCACACAGAGACCCTGGAAAGCCCTTGAAAGGATCAAATGGGAAATGGTGTAGAGACCCTGGCACATATCAAGCTTGAGAGTGTCACTGTTATAACATATTGTGTCTCCTCCACTGAAGGGTGGAGTTTGAGCACCCACCGCAAGCACCACAAGCAACTTTCCTGAGCCAAAAAGGACTCCATTCTGGAAGATTCTTTCAAAATTATCCCCTTAGTTCCTCACAGGCATGGACTAGGCTCAGGAATATGAAACTCCAGCCCTGCCTCAGAGTGAAAGGGAGTTTGGGGGGAGAGGGGAGAGCACCTTCTTGGGGGAGGGGAGTCATTTAGCCTGATCCACGGCTTTTATGGAAGAGAAGGCTACAAATAGGAGATAGTTTGTACCCAGGTTTATCTGGGATCTCTTAGACCGTGGTAGCCTTCTAATCAAGGAGCTTAGCTATCTGGGCCAATGGTCTTTGTAGCTACCCGGTGACTCTCCTGGAGCCTTATCTAGTCCGCAGGTCTTTGCCTCAGGAGATAACCTCTGGAAAAGTTCTCGATGAAAACCAGACACCCTGGTACAGACACAGAACAGAGGCCATCATCTCAGTGGTTCTGAGGGTACCTAAGCACATTGTCAGTACACACACACACACACATACACACACACGGAAACACCGGGGTTTCCCAAGCCATCCTTGTTCGGGGCTTACAGGGATGGCTGCAGATCTTCGAAGGAATCAAAATCTTGCAACCATTCTGAGCACAGACCCACCTTTCCAGTGCCTAAGGAACAGGTGCATCTCCTTGTGCTAGGTCCTAGGGTGCTTTCTGTGACCAACAGATAATGTAACACCTCCCCACCCCACCCCACCACCTCATTCAGCAGGCCCGGAGTCAGGATCACTGCTCTGGCGGCACAGCAGTCGCAAGTAAGTTCCCTCACTAGTCCTACACACCGGTCCTGGTCCAGGGACAGCTCCTTGGTGAGGAACTCGAAGAAGCGGGAGCTGTGGCTGCGGTTCTGCTCTGCAGTGCCCACAACACCGATGGAAGAGACCAGAAGCTGGACACAGGGCTCTGTGGATCCGTTCATCAATAAGGTCATGCCAGGTCGTAATGTAACGCTCACGCGCTGCAGGGAACATAAAAGTCAAATTCCGGAAGCTTGGGTAGGCCGGGCTGGTGACCTGAACCGGGCGCGCCAAAGTCAGAACGTGGGGAGTCTGAGGGATGAGGGTTTGGAGTACTGGCCAGGAACCTTGGAAGTTCCTGGCTAGTGCTCCAAGAATCGCGCCTGGGAGGGGCAACCAGGAAGAGACCTGGGGAGGGAGGATGGGACACGGAAGGTCAGAGGTTAGCGGGAGGGTGGGGTCTCTGGGGGATAAGAGTAAAGGTCATTGGAAAGTCTGACCCCTAACCCACAACTTCCGCGCACCCAGGGATCCCCGACCCCAGCTCACGTCTTCGGGTTTGTCCAGGATGGCGGCGGTTGCCGCACACAACCGCTTCTCTAGCCCCGCGGGCACCCGGCTAGCTGGCAAGTTCGTTTCCAACTCAATGAATGGCATATTGGAGGGCGAGAAGTACCGCAAAGCTGCAACTGCACCGAGAGTGGCCTGAGAAGCTGAGGTTCCAGAAAAGGGGCACGGGGCGTGGCGTGGGGCGTGGCGTTTCAGCTAAGCTTCTCATTGGCTAGGCAGCGTCGGCACTACTGGATTGGCTACCAGGGCTACGCCTCCTCTGCAGTCACTCCAAATGACCGGAGTCCTAGCTTCACCGCCTTTGGCCTCCCAGTCAGCAGGGGGCTCTGTTTTCCTCTGAGTGTCCCAGCTAAACGCCCACAACGCTTACATTTCTGTAGGAAACGTCACACCGCCAGGCTTGCTTAAAGTTTCTTGATTGTGATTATTTCAAATTCAATATGGGAACCACACTTCTTTTGAACAATCTTGAGAACAGGTATCACCTGTGAATGAGGTGTGCCTGGGCAAGACCCTAGGGCAAGTGCATCTCCACCTAAGATACCGGACTTTGTAGCCTCTTTTGTGAGTAATGAATCATTGTCCATCAGAGGGCAGCAGAGTCATTTAACAAAGCAACCTGGCCGGGAGGGGTTTGGTGCACCTAGGAGGGAGGCATAGGCAGGGGGATCTATGAGTTCAAGGCCAGCCTAGTCTACAGAGTGAGTTTCAGGACGGCCAGGGCTATGCAGAGAAACCCTCCAAAACACACACACACACACACACACACACACACACACACACACACCACACACAAATAAAGGCAATCAAAGCGTGCATACAAAAGGAAACAAGCAAACAGGCTGACACAACCATCGCTCTTGTTGTTTTGTGAGCAGTTTATTGGGTAATGCACATACCATAGGCCCTATGACACAAGAATAAGAAGCTTGAAAACTTGGAGCAGGAGACATGCAGAAGATAGCAGTCAGGGTCAGAAGACTTGGAACAAGCGACACTGCTTGGCAGAATTTGGAAAGTCAGGACATTGCCAGGGACTTCACCCCTGCAAAGGGCATCATGAACCAGCCCTGCACCCTGTCTATGACAGGCATCATCACCCAGAGGGGAGAGACCCAGAGGACAAAGACCTTTCACTAGTCACGCCCTACCTGTGACATGTGCTCAACCCAGGAATCATAGATCCTGCGCTAGGAATGAAGAGCCCAGAGGGGCCACGTGGTGACAAATGTCAAAAAATATAGAGAAAGGGCAAAGAACACAAGTGCAGGGGGGATGGGGGGGGAAGTGGGGGATGCAATGTGATAGCATGACAGGAGCCAGAAAGGAATGCTTCCACCTTGGAGGGTGGGGCTAGGTTACGAGTTCAATGGTTTGAGTTTCAAAAGAGGAACATGACCTGGTATTTTCCCAAGTGTTTTCCTGTAGCTCTCTCTAGAGGTCAGGTAAAATCTGATTTTACAGCTCAAGCAGGGTGGGGACGCAGAAGGAACACTGCTGGTGCCTAAAGGGAATTGTAGATCAGAGACGTCATGTCCTAGTGACAGCCAAAGTTACATTCTGGCCATCTCTTCATTTGCACAACCCAGCGTTTCCCTGGATGGCGCCGCAGGTACGGGCTGCTTCCTCAGTGCAACAAGCTCTGCACGGAGAGCTTCAGTTTCTCCTTCAAGGTGGGGTCCATCAAGGGAGGCATGTCCTTGACCTTCAGGACAACTGCATGGGCCTCCTGGAAGAGGTTCTCCCCCACCGCAGCTTCCACACGCTGACGCCATGCAGCCAGTTTGGGTCGGCTCTCGAAGATCTTGCAGCCAGCACTGACAGGCTGTGGGGAGAAGTCAAGCAGAGGGACTAAGTTCCACCATCTACCAGGCAGCACGGCCTGTTTCTGTATCCCCCGCTGCATTGTCATCCTCCATCACGAGGGAGGTGCCTCTCAATGCCCCCATAGAAAGAATTTGTAAGGATTTACTTGATGATGCTAAGAATCAGCGACGGTCAAAAGCTCAGTCATAAATCAGGCATCTTATGTCACCCTCTCCCAAGGCTGAAGAAGTGGAAAGAACGTAAGAGCCCGAAGAAAAGGAAAGGAAGCCATGGAACACTGACTTCCAGGAATGGAATGGCATAGCCTTCGCATATGATTGGGTCCATTAGCATCCTGTCACGGAGTGGAGCATCGAAGGACACTTAGGGTCTCATCCCTCCCTGAGGATGATGGTTGTTGGGAAAGGGTGACATTTTCTTCAGTGGCCACTGGTAAGGCACCCATGCTATTGTGAACAAATCCTCACCCATCCTCCTGTAAGCAACCTTGATGAAACGCACTGAAACACACACACACACACACACACACACACACACACCATCGTGATAGCAGAATGGAAGCTAGTGAGAGACAAGTCAGTAGGAGGGGGACAAGAGATGGCAAAGGGGGTGACCATGATCAAAATACATTATGTACATGTATGGAAGTATCACAACGAAACCCATTTGTTGTAATCCAGGCAAACTTGGCCCCTGCCTCTCACCCACCTGCCCATGGCAGGCCTTTGTCGCCTGGCTCTTTCTGCTGTCTTTTCTCGTGCCCCTTTGTCTTCCGTCTCTGTACCTCTTTTCTCTTTCCTTCCCTTATTTTCTTACCTCCCCCTCAATAAAACTTCCAACATGAGTCATGTTCACAGGTCTCTGTTTCCCCATCCACCCACCGTCTATCACCCGCTACGGGACTGGGGACCTGCCACATGCGGTCCCAACCCATTCCAATGTATTAACCGTGCTGATTTATTCCTAGCACCATTGTTATGAGCAACTAACATATGTTAATAAAACATTCTAAAATCCTCTCTGTAGATGAAGAAGACTACGGCTCGGGGGGGAGAAGTGACTTATCCAGGGCCCCACAGGCAGAAAAGTCAGCATGAGCCGGGGCTCCCTCCCAGAACTCTCCATCATCCATCAGGTCACCCCACTCCACAGCACTCACGTGCATCAGCTCTGTGATGGCCACCAAGTCAGCCACAGAGATATGGGATCCCGTGAGGAAGGCCTGGTTCCGCAGGAACTTGTCCTCCAGCATCTGCAGGCACCTGTCCAGTTCAGCCAGAGTGGATGCCAGTATCTCAGGGGGTACCGGCTGTTCCAGGTACTTAGGAAACATCATCTGGTGGACCAGCAAAAGGAAAGATTTGGCTCTGTCTGCCTCTCCTCTTCTGTCGTACTCTTACCCGTCCACCTCAGCTCCTGGGACCCCTCCTTGCCCTTTTCTTGCATAAAATCATTCCTGACTCTCGGGAGCAAGACCTCAACACAAAGCCCTCTCCAGCGTGGCAGCTGCCATCCCGTCCCCATTCTGGGTCCCCCTTTACTTCAGGTGGGACTTTCCAAGAGAGACGTGGCAGTTGATGCACGGTTGAGGGAATTACTGGGCTAAAGCCAGTACTCAGGAGGGCCACCAACATGCAAGTCTGACGTTCCATACTGGAATTCTACGATCCCCCAGTCTAAAAGTTTAAACAACATGCAAGTCTGACGTTCCATACTGGAATTCTACGATCCCCGAGTCTAAAAGTTTAAACAACGTCCCGTTCAAATTTTACTTATTTTTATCTGTTTTGAGTGAGTGCACACATGCTCTCGCGCGCCTGCCTCCCTCACCACAGCAGGCTTGTGGAGGTCAGAAGGCAACTTGCACAAGCTGGTCCTCTCCTTCCACTGTGTGGGTCACAGGAATTGAACGCGGGTTGTCAGGCTTGGTGACAACTTCCTTTACACCCACTGAGACCTGTCGCTGGCCCAAGAGCTTTTATTTTCAACCGTCTCTGAAGGCTCCTGAGAGGTAACACGGCCCTCGGTCCCTGTGGCTCACCTTCTGCCACATGGCCCTGGTGCAGCAGCTCCGAAGGGCTGTGTGCTGCCAAGACAGGTACTCATCCACACGAGCTCGAGCCTGAAGGTCCTGAGGGTACCAGTGGTCAGGGACCTTGTACTTTCTACTCAAATACAGCAAGATGGCCACACTGGAGGGATGCAGAAGGGAGAAGAACATTCTTAAGTCACCTTGGCCTAGGGCGGGAGTGTCTTGTTTTGTACCTGAACTTCCACAGGCCTTCTTATGCAGCCTGGGGACCCTTTCAAATACAGGGGGGCTGGGAGCTGTCCTCTGCTCAGATCTTCCTGAGGCCCTCCCTGCCTACAGGAAAGATCAGAGCCTTTCCCTCCTCCCCGCCTCCTCCCCACACTGCTCTGCTCGCCTCCTTCATACCAGCAGTGCTGGCCTCAGCCCTTCAGCCTATACCCCTCCCTGCACGGGCTAACGCCATGCCCTTCGCCTTTGTCCTTCCGGCAAGAACACACTCCCCATTCCTGCTTGCTTAACGCCCTTGTAGCTGCTCACTTGAGCTCCCACACCACCCCCTCCAGCCTGTCTCTTCTCCACTGCACTCGCCGCCTCCCACGTTAGTGTCATGCCTCCCTCCAACATACGATGAGTTCCATGCAGGCCCGGGTTATGTTCTGCTCAAGACCCAAGGATAGACAGCGACCTGGTGCTGCGGGGTGCTCATCGGATGGCTACTAAGCTCAATGGGTGATCACTGGCTCCAAGGAAAGCAGCTCCCCGCCCCCGCCCCCTAGGGTATGTGGCAGATGTATTCGCAGGGCCTGGTGCTCTCTCTTTGGCACTGTTCTTCCTCCGGAGGGCTGGACTAGCAGGGAAGGGGTCGGGAGGCAGCCTGCCCTCCCCCACACCCCAGTCTGTAGGGCCATCTTGCCTTGCCAGTGAACTTGTGGTATGCAGTATCAGTTTCCTCATCCATAAAATGCAGAGGGAGGCAAGCATACCATGTCTTTAAAAGTCCTATCTCAGCCCCAGGTACCTGCTGGAGTTTCATCCAACCATTTACCCCTGGAGCTGACACAGAAGCCACACAGTCCAAGTGGCTGGCAGTGGGCCCAGACAGGTGGCCTGCCTCATACGGTTTGGTTGCCAGCCAGGAACTCATTACCTCTCTGCCAAGATGAAGTCCCCATCCTTCAAAGCTGGCACCTTCCTCAAGGGGTTCACCTGGGCAAAGTCATCAGTGTAGTGCTGACCTGCAGGGAGACCAGAGAGGTCAGGGAAGAAGACCCCGGCTCCTTAAGGTCTGCCTGCAGCCTTCCCTGCATTCAGACACCAGTTTTCCACAAGAAGGCTCAGGGAAGAGGAAGCCACCATGCTGGCCAGTTGATCACAGATCTTTATCCTATCCCAAATCCATTTGCCCCTGTGAAGCCTGGGTGTCCACTTGAGTTTGGGAACCAGGTGATTCTGTGAAGTTATGGCCTACAGTCATCCGCAGGCAGACACCCAGTCTCATTCCTGGGCTCTGATCCATCTCTGTCCCAGGCAGAACTCGGTAGGTTCTTCTGACCAGACTAGGTGACCTGTGTCCACCCCAGAGCCCCAGCCCTCCCTATTCTCAATTCTCAACACGGTCTTGCCAGGAGCAAGTGCCCATTCATCCATCTGGCCTCTAGCAGCTCAATTCTTCCTCTTCCGTGCCTAGCCCTCAGAGCTCACTCCTCACTTGGGGTTCCCAGACCAAACCCACTGCCTCTCTCCCGACCTCCATGCCTAAGGCAGATCTGATGATACAAGCGAGGTTGCTCAGTCAATGTGAATAAAGTCAGGCCCTTTGGTGAAGCCAGGGTCTCCATCCACTGAATGTCTGAATGGACCCCATCCCCTTTGTCCAGGCCCCTTCCACAAGCTGCCTATGTGCAGCTCCTGTCCTGTGGTCCAAGTCGAAAGTACCACAGACGGCCACTCGGGGGACTCAGCTGAACAGGATGTGACTGTGTCCAGTTGTAGCCCTGCCCCCGGCTGAGTTCTGCTTCAGTGACTGGTTTATGTTTATGTTTTTTTTCTTTTCAGACTAACCAGAGTAACATTCCAGCTCCAGTGAGAGTGCTGGCCTCTCCCACTGTCCTTTCACAGAGCCCTCTAGCTGACCGGAAAATCCTATAAAGCAAACTCTGGAAGCAGGGGAGGTGGGGCATGAAGCTGTCTTGGCAAGCCTGTAATTCCAGCTATGTGGGAAACTTAGTGTTTGACTGGGGTAAGTGTGAGTGCAATACCCAGACAACCCCACAGCCCTGTCTCAAAGTGACAAGCAGAAAGAGGGCTGGGGTATAGCTCAGTGGTGGCATGGACGATAGATACCCTCCCTGGTTTGGTCTTCAGGGAAACACACACACACACACACACACACACCACACACACACACTCCACCACACACACACCACTCACACACACACATGCACACACATACACACACACCACACACATACACAACATACACACACCTCACATATCACACACCACCACACACACACCACACACACACTCCACCACACACACACACACCACACACACACACCACACTCACACACACACCACACACACACCACACATACACTCCACCACACACACACCACACTCACACCACACTCACACACACACCACACACACAGTCCACCACACATACACACCACACACAGTGCACCACACACACACACCACACTCACACACACACCACACTCACACCACACACACACCACACTCACACACACACACCACACTCACACACACACCACACACACACCACACTCACACACACACCACACACACAGTCCACCACACATACACACCACACACAGTGCACCACACACACCACCACCACACACACACACACAACACACACACACCACACTCACACCACACACACACCACACACACAGTCCACCACACATACACCACACACACAGTCCACCACACATACACACCACCACACACACACACACCACACTCACACCACACTCACACCACACACACACAAGACACACACACCACACACACAGTCCACCACACACACACACTCACACACACACACAACACACACACACACCACACTCACACACACAACACACACACACACACCACACTCACACACACACCACACTCACACACACACCACACATACACTCCACCACACACACACCACACTCACACCACACTCACACACACACCACACTCACACACACACCACACATACACTCCACCACACACACACCACACTCACACCACACTCACACACACACCACACACACAGTCCACCACACATACACACCACACACAGTGCACCACACACACCACCACACACACACACACAACACACACACACACACACCACACACAGTGCACCACACACACACACACACACACAGTGCACCACACACACACACCACCACCACACACAGTGCACCACCACCACACACACACACCACACACACACACACACAACACACACACACACACCACCACACACACTCACACACACACCACCACACACACACACACACCACACACACACACACCACACACACACACACACACACACACACACACACACACACCACACACACACACACACTCACACACACACACACCACACATACACACCACACACAGTGCACCACACACACACAACACACACACACACACCACCACACACACTCACACACACACCACCACACACACACACACACACACACACACACACCACACACACACACACTCACACACACACACACCACACATACACACCACACACAGTGCACCACACACACACACACACACCACACACACACACAAGAATGGCAAACAAGCCGGGACACTGCAGCGGACTTGACTCTGGTCCAAAGATTCCTAAGTTGAAGATCTCACACCCAAGTAAAACAACTCTTTTCTGCACCCCCCCCCCAGAATGCAGAAATGCAAGATGGTGATCCCTCACTTGAGAAATAAATTAGTTCAACTTTTTTTCTCCAATGCAGGAAGTAGGATTTTCATGCCCTGCGTGTCCGGTTCCTGTCCCTTCCTCCTCTCTTCCCCCTCCCCGTGTCTCTCCCCTCCCACCTGTCTCCCCAGACCTTCCTTCCACTGAGCCTTAGCATCTGGTATTTGGAATCTGCTATTCACCAGGCAAAGGTTCTTTAAAAATTCACAGCGGAGGGGGCTAGAGAGATGTAGGCTAAGTGGTTAAGGGTACTTGCTGCTCTTTCAGAGGACCTGCGTTCAGATCCCAGCACCCAAGTCTGGTGGTTCACAATCACCTCTAACTCCAGGTCCAAAGGATTTAACGCCTTCTTTAGGCCTGGGGTGCCCGTACACACATTGCATACATACATGCGTACATACATACATACATACATACATACATACATACATGCGTATGTAAACAAATAAAGCTTTTTTTTTATCACAGCTTATAACTGATACAACCGCCTCCTCACGGGAGCAGCTGACGCTTCCTCTCCTGTTTGCACACCTGGCCTGACCGTTCACCAGCTGCAATCGGCGGCGGCGGGCGGTGCAGGTACACAAGGCTGCAGACTACCCAGCCCTCCAGCCGGGCCCACCTTTGAGCAAATCTATGGTACGCAGCTGGAAGGGGATGTCGTTCTTCTTGGCGAAGATGTAGACAGCACGGCAGGGCTGGGACATCAGGTCTAGGTAGAGCTCCAGACCCATGACGGAGGCTGTGGCAGTGACGGCTGGCAGATCTCGGAGTCTGACCGCGGGGGAACTGCCTCTGGGGACAGAGTTGGGAGCAGCTGCAACGGCGAGCGGGAACGGCTGGGTCCCGGCCCTTCGAGCTCCTTATTCTATACCAGAGCCCGAATACATCCTTTCCTCCCATTGGATGCTCATGAGAACTTTGGGCCAATCAGAGGCGGGCTGCCAGTTAGTTCTGCACAGATCAACCTGTACTGTGTGCCTGGGTCGTGCTGTCCGCCAAACTCCTCCCCTCACCTTCGTGTTTAGATCAAAGGAGGAGCGGAACACCCTAAAGAGAGAAGGATGTGAAGGGCGTTTCCATCGGTGAATTTAATGGCAAAAGGGCTGTGCTGTCTGTCCGCGGTTCACTTCCTCTCCCTCCACTCAGGGACAGGGCTGAGAGAGGAGTGGCTTCAGAGACCCTTGGCACAGAAAAGGAGAAAGGAAACGCACTCGGCTCTCCCCGGCCCAGGACTCAGGATGGGGGGTGATATTTGTCCTTGCGTGCAGAGGCTAGGCCCACACCCTGTGAGGAAATGATCCGGCCCTCCCCATTCTTATTTAACGGGGGAGGGAGGATTGCAGATGCACCTGGGATTGGATAACACTTCTCCACCCAGGGCAAAAAGCCTTCAGTGGCTCTCAGGGGCATCTAAGGCCTAAATGACATCATCATTTCCCAAGAGAAACCCCCAGTTTCCCAATTGACAAATACAGAAAACGTGTCCTGGCAAGACAATAGGTCATTGGGAAAGTTGATAGTAGCTTTGTCTTCTTTGTCAAATGTTCTCATTAAGGAAGAACTGTCCCCCCCAGGAAAATGTCTTCTTGCCATAGTGGGAGGGAAGGCCCCCCTCTCCATTTTCCCATCTCTACTCTTCAGGGCTTAACGGTTCTCCACAAATTTCCCTTGCCTACCCACCCCACCCACACCCCCAACTAAAGCAACATCCAGTCTCTCCCTCTTCCTTCCCAGCTGCCCTCTAATCTACCCCCCCACCCCGCCCCCAACAGATAGAATATGATACCCCTCATTCCTGCTTACAGTTTGTACCCAAGATTTGAGCATGACCTTTGACCAGGACAGCTGCTGTGGGCATTTCTTGACCTGAGAGACCAAACCAGGGCCATTTCAGAAAAGAGGGCCAGAAACAGAATATGGGGACCTCACCCCATGACCTGTGCAGCTGGCTCCAGGAAAAGCAGACCCTTGGGAAGAACAGATAACCCCAAACGGCCCTGACCTCGGGTTAGCCAATTAACAGAGTTGCAAAAGCAACCTTTATGGGCTCAGGTGGCATCAGAGAGCACATATGGTGCCAGAGGTAAATCCAGGTTAGCACATGTGGTGTCAGAGATAAGTCTATGAAAATTCCCCAAGTTCCTCTAGACACCTCAGCCTATCAGCTTTAAACCCCTACCCCTCCCCCTACCCTATGGTTTTTGTCCTGTTGCTGTCCTGTTCTGTTGTTGAGATACAGTCTCACGCTGTAGCCCAGGCGGGAATGGATCTCAATGTGTAGCCCAGGTTAGCCTTGAACTCTCAGTGATCCTCTTGTTTCATCCTTCTGAGTGCTGGATTACGGACATGAGTTACCATGCCTATCTACGATGCCATTCTTGGCAACCATGAGGGGGGAGAAATGATCCTCAAAGCCTGGGAAACGGAGCTGTCTTTTGGAAAGATAATTGGGCCAGAATAGAGGAAAGTGAAATAAACAACACAGAGAAGCTGAGGCTCAAAACGAGTCTACGTTTATTACCCAACTCAAAAGTGAAAGGTAGTGATCATGGTTGCGGTCATGTGTGGCTGTCGTGGAAAAATGGTGAAGATGGAGCCTGGCCTAAGAACTGCTGTGAGGCTAGGACGCATCGCTCATGTAAGGAAAGCGCTTTGTGAGCAGCCATGGGAAGGGCAGGGATGAGGCTTCAGAATTCACTGGATCATGGCCAGCACTCTAGGCATCAGCTTCTGCTTACTGATGAGGTCGGCAGGTGGCGAGTCCTTAGCCTTCAGGATGACCTCATGGGCCTCCCGGAAGAGATCCTTTCCCACTGCTGCCTCCACTCGATGGTACCACGCAGCCAGCTTGGGGCGCCCTTCAAAGACGGGGCAGCCACCACCGACGGGCTATCAGGAAGGGAACAGAATGGGGGTGGGTGAGTTTGTGGCTAACTTTGGTTGACATAACATGGAAAAGAGAGAACTCAGCTGAGGAAATGTCTCCATCAGAATGGCTTGTAGGGATGTCTGTGGGTCATTTTCTTGATTGTTGACTGATGTGAGAGGGTATAGTCCACTGTGAATGGTGTCACTTCTGGGAAGGTGGACTTGTGCTATATAAGAAAGATAGTTGAGTGTGAGTCTAGGAGCAAGCCAGGGTTACGCCCATGGTCTCTCTGCCTCTGGTTCTGCCTCCAAGTTCCTTCCTTGAACCCCTGCTTTACCTTGACAATGGACTGTAACCTACAAACTGAAATAAATTATTTCTTCCCCAAGTTGCATTACAGTTATCATAGCAATAGAAAAGCAAACCAGAATAAAAATTGGTGCCAAAAGTGGACTGTTGATGCAATGAGCCTCACCATGTTTTTTTTGGGGGGGGTGTGGAAACATTTGCAACTCTGGGCCAGAAAAGTCATTGAGTAATCAGAAATAAACGAGATATTCTATGGTAGTTTCAAAGAAACAAACATTGAGAGAAATGCAGATGGTGGAGGCCTGGCTTGTAAGGTTTCAAAGGGAAGTTTGAGAGTCTGTCAAAGACTCCAGCAGGGCCACTAGTATGATGTATTAATAGCCCATGGGAGTAAAACCTTGGGACAATGGGTGCTGGTTGGCTAGGGATGAAAACTCAGCTGTAGTTAGTAAGGCCCGCATCACTGAAGCAGCATCTGTGAAGTACTTTCCTCAGGGTCAGCACACTGTGACTCAGTTGTGGGGGAGGCCAAGGATGCATATCAAACTGGCAGCAGAATTTGGCAAATAATGTGTAAGAGTCTCCCACACGGTACTGGATATGAAGGCGTGAAGGAGTCATGGGGAGCAACTAAGGCTTGACACTGTATGAAGCCAGGAGATGCCACTGGTAAAGTTGCAGACTCGGTTGTAGTGGAAACCCCAGATTACTGGATATGCCAGAACTATGAGGTGACCACCAAGGACAGTGGCAGGTGTGGCATGAATCCAACCTGAACCAGCAAGACAAGTACATGTTACCTATGGCAGAGCAGAAGAACACAACTACCCAGGCCCTTTGGGTCCCAGTGGATCATGAATGAGCCACAGATGCCAGACATTGAACTGTTCACACTATAGGAGTTTGGTTCACATTGGCTTGGTTAGAACTATGCCTTTATTCTCCCCCCTGTGAAACAAGTTCCCTTGTGGAACAAGAAATTATATAATTTTTATTTCTGGATTTTTACAGAATTCCACAGTTAAGAGGCTTTAGATTTTTATTGTTGTTTGGTTTTTCGAGACAGGGTTTCTCTGTATTGCTTTGGAGGTTGTCCTGGGAACTTGTCCTGTAGACCAGGCTGGCCTCGAACTCACAGAGATCTGCCTGCCTCTGCCTCCCGAGTGCTGGGATTAAAGGCATGAGCCACCACCACCCGGTGTCGAGACTGGATTTTTAAAGAGAGCTTGTGCTTTTTAAACCACCTGGGCTTTTTTGTTTTGTTTTGTTTTGTTTTACAAGACAGGGTTTCTCTGTATTATTTTGGAGGCTGTCGGTCCAGCTGGTCTCGAACTCACAGAGATCCGCCTGCCTCTGCCTCCCGAGTGCTGGGATTAAAGGTGTGCACCACCACGGCCCGGCCCATCTGGGCTTTTTTAAAAAGACTATAAGACCTTTAAAATTGTACTTTACGTTGTAATACTTTGTAGTAATGAGATCTTGGGGAAAAAGAATTGGAAGATGATAGTTTAGCAGTGATGTTTGTGTGTCAGGCAGGCAAGGAGTACATTGTGCTAGCTAGTTTTTTCCCACTTAACACAAGCCCAGATATACCCAGGAAGAGAGAATTCCCATTGAGGAATTGTCTCCATCAGACTGGCCTGCGGGGGTGTCTGTGGGGTGTTTTCTTGATTGTTAATTGACGTAGGGGGGCTCAGGACACAGTGCATGGTGCCATCCTTGGGTGGTGGCCTGAGCTGTGTAAGAAAGGTAGTTGAGCAAACCAGGGCGCACAAGTCAGTAAGCAGCATTCCTCCGTGATTTCTCTTCAAGCTCCTGCCTTGAGTATGTGCCTCGGCTTCCCTCATGCAATGTAGCCTGTAAACCGAGTAAACCCTTTCCTCCCCAAGTTGTTTTGGGGTTAGTGTTTTGCACAGCAACAGAGAAGCAAATTAGAACAGCCAAGGACAGACATTATAAATCTGGAAGGAGTCTCTCTCTGCACATATGAACAGATCTGCAACTAGCAGGGGTTAGCAAAACTGGGGCTTCCGTAACTAGCCAGGCTCCCTGTATGTTATGGGCCCACATGTTTAGAGCACTCACATGCATCACCTCTGTTACGGCAACCAAGTCAGCCAGGGAGATGCGGGGCCCAATAAGGAAGGCTTTGTCCTGGAGAAACTTGTCCTCAAGCACCTGTAGGTTCACATCCAATTCTGCCAGCGTGGCCGTCAGTGTCTCAGAAGGTACTTGCTCTCCCAGGAAAACAGGGATCATCATCTGGTGGGAAAATAGGCGAGAGAGAGAGAGAGAGAGAGAGAGAGAGAGAGAGAGAGAGAGAGAGAGAGAGAGAGAGAGAGCTAAGCCTTGCGGATAAGAAGTCATGGCTCCCAACTTGGGAGCTACCTTTTGGTTCTATGCCTCTTCTTTGGGGCTGGCCCAGACCTGTAGGGAAATGGTACCCAAGTGACATTTTCGTTTACAAATGAGTAGTTCTGCTTCCAGCATCTCCGGTTGGCTGGGCCTCAGAGAAAATGATTTTTTTTAATGAATGACTGAAATGGACACCTGAAAAATAGATAGAACTAATTATTTTTGAGGAAAGAAGCGAGGTTAGGAATGAATGATGGCCATGTGTCACTCGTTGTCGAGAATGAAAGTGGTTACGTTGCCTTGCAAATGTCACATACTTTAACAACATGAGTAACGTAGGTCAGCCACTCACTCAGACAGCCTTTTCATACAACCGAGGGACAAGGTAAACAAAAGTTAACATGAAAGCACAAGGCCCCTAAGTAAAGCAATCCTAAGCAGAGGAGCAAAAAGTCTTCTCATATGCTGCCAGTGGGAATGGAGCCGCCTACAGCCATTATGGAAGTCAGTATGGAGGTACCTTAGAAAATTATAAATAAAGCTATCACAGGACACAGTTATGCCATTCCTTATCAGCTATAAAGAAAAATGAAATCATAACATTAGTTAGAAAATGGATGCAACTGGAAATCGTTAATTTAAGCAAAATAAGCCCAACTCAGAAACACAAATATTGTTTCTGCATGTGCGCGTGTGTGTGTGTGTGTGTGTGTGTATGCGTGCACATCCACTCATGTTAGAAAGAGGGCCATGATAGGAGAAGAAATCTTTTTTTTTGGAGGCTGTCGGTCCAGCCTGGCCTTGAACTCACAGCGATCCGCCTGCCTCTGCCTCCCGAGTGCTGGGATTAAAGGCGTGCGCCACCACTGCCCCGCAGGAGAATAAATCTTAAGTAAATGGGAGTAAGGAAAAACAGCAATGGGATACACGTGAATGAAAGCAAAAGAGTGGGGAGGGCGGGACTAAGGGCTGGTGAGATGTCTTGGTGGTAAAGGAACCTGCTGTCAAGTTTGATGACCTGAGCTCAGTCCCCAAGACCTACATGGTAGAAGAAAGCCAACTCCCCAAAGCTGTCCTCTGACCTCCACGCATGCGCCATGGCACACACCACCCTCCCATGAACATGTGCGTGTACACACATGTACATATGCACAAACAAAGACACACGATCGGTAAACAAAAATTGAAGTTTAAAAAGAGGAGGTAGGGGATCAGCAAAAGTAGAGAATGACCCGAGGGACATTCAACGTGGGTCTGCTGGACACCTAGGAGAAGGATGGGGGACAGGAGACACGAGAAAGGATACCAAGACAGGAGTCTGGTCAAGGTGATGAGATTTTATTCTTTCCAAGCAGTATTTAAGGGACCTGGAGGAGGAGGGAATGGGGGTGATGACCACAGCTTCAAAGAAGCTGTCAATGCAAAAGGTCAGTGGGAGAGGTAGCCTTCTGTGTTGCCTGGTAACCTAATTCTCAAGGCAAAATGTCAGGGGTAGAACCTCCTGTGTTGTTTGGTAACCTGACCGTAGGTCCTTACTTTATCTTTCTCAATCTTTCCCTATTGCCAAAGCCTATCTCCTGGCAGACTTAGGGGCTTTGTGTGGAGCTAATTTTCAACTGACAATTAAGCTGCAGGCCTGTTTCCAGAATTTAGCAGAGGTAGCATGGTGGTCCGGAGTCATGCCCTCTTTATGAGGATGTCCTTCCCTATGAGGACGTGATGCAGTCGCAGCTGGCTTATGGTCGGATGCCCCTGACAAGAAGAAAGACAAGGGAGAGAAGTGGAGGATGGGGTAAATAAAAATAAGCAGGTCTGAAAAGGTCATAATTAAATCCATTACTTTGTGCATAGATTTTAAAAAAATGTCCAGGTTGGTCACATAAGCTCCAGGATTGAACTTTGGACACATGGAACCAGCTAGATACAAAATTTTAGTAGCCTTATTGGTATTTCCCCACTAGTGTTATTCCATACAATTGATTTTCCCCCTGTAGCTAATGAATCAAATCACACACAATAGCTATCAGTTGGAGTTTCATGGGGTCTTGTGGAACACATTTTATTTGACTGGAACCAGAGGTTTGTCTTTGTTTTGCATTTTGAGACAGAGCCTCATGTAGCCCAGGCTATGTGTCTAGCTGAGTGTGGCCCTTGAACTCGGTACCTTCTGTGTTCGCCTCTGCCTCTGCCTCCCAAGAGCTTGGTCAGGTGTGCACCACCACAGCCAGCTCCAAACCAGGACCCCTTTTTTATCACCAGAAAACAACTTATTTTCAGCTCCTAATGCCCAATTATTTGCATCTTTACTAATTTTCCTATGACTCTCCCCCCAAATCTCTCTTTTTTAAGAGAGGATCATACTATGTAGCCCAGGCTACATCCACAGTCCTCCTGCCTCCTCCTTTCAAGTGGAATGCACCACGGATGAACTCAGCTAAAACCATCTTTGGAATGTATCTCCAAGTGGCCATGACAAAGTCTTGATCGCCAGGTCTGAAAAGACAGTGCACTCACAGTATTACTGGAAAAGTGGCTTTCTCCATGGTGTCTAATTTCAAACAATCCAATCCAAAATCTCAATTGTCGAGAGCTGGACTGATCCAAGTCTTTCTCGGAGTTTTGATGAAAGGACAAAGGGAACCTAATTTTGCATCTTGCATGGGAGCAGACTTAACAAGGCCAGTTTGGGGCTGAGGACAAGACCTCAAAGGAGTTTAGGTTTCAGTCCCTGGGATCTTGGCTTTTCCCCCATGAAGAGACTGGAGTTATTGGTCCCACGGCCGCTGTTTGCTTGGTCTGCAATGCTCTTGAGATACCCTGTGTTCCCTTTGCGCTCAATTAGCCTCCCACTGACTTTGCCCATTGAATGACACTCTGTTCTGTGCATCTCCTGGAAATAGTACAGAAGATGCTGTACTCCTTAATAAGCTTGCTTGGCATAGATATAGCTTGTGCAGGACCTCGTGACCCCAGCTTCCTATCTATCTTCTACTTTCCCATCTCCTGGCCACCTCCCACTTAGAACTGTCACTGAAGAATGACTGGTCCAGGTCACTCAAATAGCCAAAGCCACAGGCAGCTAAATGGCGTCAGTCTGGTTTTTCTTGGTGTCATGCTAGAACACTCTCCCAAAAGGAACTTAAGGAAGCCAGGCTCACAGTTCCGGGATACAACTGTCGTGATGGGGAGATCATGGCAGGAGGAGCTCGAGGGAGACACCAACATTGCATCCATGAATGTGCTTGATTCATGTTCTCTCCCCTGTCCCTTACATTTTTGGGGGGATTTTATGTGTGTGGGTACTTTGTCTACATCTATGTCCTCTAAGAGAAGAGGAAAGAGGTAACTAAGGCAGTTACGAGAGAGGATAGTGTGAGCACCAGGCAGGGTTGAGATGCAATCCCAGCACCTGGGAAGCAAGACCTCTTGCTTTTCTGCTATTTATCATGAGTCATATTTTCCTGGATTAGCCTGGGCTACATAGAGTTCACAGTAAAATCCCGTCTCCAAAAGCTAAGCACTGATGATAATATAGCTCAGTATGAGTATTGCATAAGGAAAGAGAGGGAGAGGAAAGAGGAGAACGTGGAGATAATGATAATGACGGTGATGATGGAAAATTACCTGCGGCACAGACTGAATTCAAGCTCACAGTTATCCTCCTGCCTCAGTCCTGAACACCGGCATTACAGGCTTCTGACACTATATCCAGCTCATGAAGGCTCTGCCAACTTCAATTTGTTGAGTTACATCATGGGATGTACCTCAATGTACGCAATTCTGTGTACAAAACTAGGTATACCCGTATTGCCATGTAACCATCACTGCCATTCACCTCCATCTGTATTCATTAAACACTAATCCCCGATCTTAGCAGGGGGACGTAACTTTCCTCGCCTGGATCCCTTTAGAACTCACTCAAGGATATCTATCGAGGATGCCCTCTAAAAGATCTTGTGGTTAAATACATGCAATTCCTAAAAATGAAAAATACATATCTCAAGAAAAGGATTATTAACAATAGCCTAGACACAAAGTGAGATCAAAGATAAGACAGTGCAAAATACCAGAACTGAAAAAGACAACTTGATGCTATCTGAGCCCTTTGGGGTGACTGATGTCTTCACCCCCTTTTTTCCTCCCCTGCATCAACAGTCTACTTTCTATACTTAGATTCCAAAGACCTACCAGTTGGTAACCCAATCCTACCTTCAAGACATAGGTGTTATTTAACCTATTTTTTAAAAATCCTTTATATTATTTTCACCTGTACTAGCATGCAATCAGTACATGGCATGGAATAGTAACTCATGAAACACGTGAGGCAGGAGGAAAATGTAACCCATAACCAAGAGTGGAAAAAAAAACAGTAGAAAAAGACCCACAGAGGACCTGAGTGCTGAAGTGTACTGACAAAGTACACACACATACACGCATGCATTCACTCACACGTGCACGCACGCTCACCCACCCCCAGATGCTGAGACCTGAACCTAAGACACTATGCTTGTCACACAAGTGCTCTACCACTAAGCTACACTACCAACCAACTGGAGAGGACATTTCCGGGAATAGGGCTAGGAGACGGCTCAGAGGTGAAAGTCCTAGCCAGGCAAGCCTGACAGCCCTGATCACCTCAGTCCAATCCCCGGAACCCACCTAGAAAGCCAGGCGTGGTGGAACCCCGGCTTCCCTTCAGTGAGATAGAAGGCAGAGAGGCAGGAGAACCAGCAGAGAGGCAGGAGAACCGCCTGAGACAGAAGGTGAGAGGTCAGACAGCCTGGAGTGCACATCACAGCAGCAGGGACAAAGGACAGTCTGCCTCACCAAGATGGAAGGTGAGAACCGATTTCCCAAAGCTGTCTTCTGACTTCCGTATGCACCAGGTGGCCCCTGGGACATAGTCACAGCAGAAAGAGTAAGTAGCAGTAACAAACGTATTAAAGTTTTTCAGATACGTGACAACCAACGTGGGTGAAGAGATGGTAAATTTGGACTGAGAAACGCAGCTCTACAAAGCCAACCAAATGGTATTTCTACAAATAAAAAATAAATGTCTCAGGTAAAGATGGGATTGAATAACATCCTGGACACAATAGGATTAGTGAAACTAAAGGCAAGACATTGGAAAAACACCAAACTGAAAATAATGCGTTACGGCCTGAATCTCCTTACTCTCCTCCCTTCCCCTACATTTCCAGTCTCACCTTCTGCCACAGGGCCCGGAGGCAGCTTCTCCGAAGGGCTGTGTGCTGCCAGGCCAGGTACTCATCCACACGAGCACGGGCCTGCAGCTCTCGGGGGTACCAGTGGTCAGGAACCTTATACTTGTGCGTTAGGTAGAGCAGGATGGCCACGCTGTGTGAGCAGGGAGCAGGGGAGCAAGGCAGCTAGTCAAACACCACAGTACCTTCTAGAACCTTCTCTTTTTATTAAGATTTTTTTTGGTTTTTACGAGACAGGGTTTCTCTGTATTGTTTTGGAGGCTATCGGTCCAGCCCGGCCTCGAACTCACAGAGATCCGCCTGCCTCTGCCTCCCGAGTGCTGGGATTAAAGGCATGCGCCACCACCGCCCGGCTTTTATTAAGATTTTTTAAATGTATTTTATGTATATGGGCGATCTGTCTACATGTACGCCTACATGCCAGAGAGGGCACCAGATCTCATTGCAGATGGTTGTGAGCAGCCATTGCTGGGAATTGAACTCAGGACCTCTGGAAGAGCAGCCAGTGCTTTTAACCGCTGAGCCATCTCTCCAGCCCCTACCTTTTCTGATCTTTCTGAGTCTTCTTTCCATGGACCTGTGTGAACCCAACACCCGCATGACAACAGCCAACTACCGTGAAGATGGCCTCTGGAGGACACCGAAGATGGCTGCTTGTGGTCACACGGAAATTTCGGTGAGAAATTGGAGCACCCTGGTATTGGGCTACAGTTACTGAGAAGGGTGGGGTGTACACATGTTAGGTAACAGTTTTCCCCCCAGTTACAGACACTCAGTCCTGTAGAGATGCCCCTTAGAGGAAGTCCCTGAAACTGAGAAGATTCAATAGGCTCCTCCCTCCCGAAGTAAACAATATGCCACCAGGGCCTGGTTACCTCTCGCTCAGGGTGAAGTCGTCGTCCTTCATGGCTGGCACCTTCTTCATGGGGTTCACCTGGGCAAACGCATCGCTGAGGTGCTCACCTGCGGATAGTCCAGCATGAGGGGGATGGGAACGGAACACTGGGCCTCTGATAGGCGGGGCCAAGGTCCTAGGACGCCAAGTATTCACCGGTTCTTGTTGGAACTAGACTGTCCCCTCGCTGTGAAGTGCAGGCTGCACCTCTGTGAGATGGGAGGGAGCTGCCCCTTGCCCTTGATACAAAATAGACTGCACACTCCTGTGGTAGCTCTGAGAAGTGCTCCCAATGTCCCTTGGAACCCTGGTCTCTGCTTGAATTGACCTTGTTTTTTCCTGCTGTTGGTGCAGCCAGATAAGCTGTTCTAAGATTGTCTCCTTGCTGCTCGGCCCAACACGTCTCAGTGGTTCCCACTGCCCTGGCTCAGATGGAGGGCTGTCACCCTCCCTGCTCCTGGAGGAGATCTGTCCCCCTCTGCACCCTCACTTTGAACATCCCTTTGTCAGTCCCCCACCCCACAGCACCCTACATCAGACTCTACAGGGGCTGCGCCTGAGGGGATTAATTGCCCTGTCTCCAGAGGTGACGTGAAAGTGGAGTTTCAGACAGAAAGACTAGCAGTGAGACGGTATGGGGACGACCTTAAGCAACACCTTCCTTCACCTTAAGTTTGGGGGCGCCTTAAGAAACAGCCTTCATTCTGTTACAACCCTCCCTGTCTTGCCAGGGTGCGGGGCTCCCTCAGCTGCCAGCAGGGAGGAGGCTCCAGCAAACCCCACACAGCAGCCTCTCTCCCCAGCACAAACAAGAGAGGCAGAGGGCAACGAAGGAAGGTAAACTTTGAGGAAGGCTGGGAAAGAAAAGACAGAAGGGACCCCGACAGACCAGGGTGGCCGAGAGAGGCAGTTGGGAAGGTCCATCTCAGCCCTGGAGGAAATGAGAGGCTAGCTATGCCGACCTCCACTTTTACTCTCTCCTAGCCCCGCTTCTCTGGAGCTCCTGGTCGATAGGCCCAAACTACACTCAATTCTATTGCCAAGTTTACATGCTATTCGGTTTCAGCACGTCCTGGCGGTCTCTTCGACGGGACAGCAGAGTTTGCGGGAGTCCTGAACCACGGATCTCTCTGGTGGCTCTTTCCTCACTTGGTCTCTAAACCAGAAAAGGCCTAGGAAGGGGACGGTACAGAAAGGAATCCCCTGAACTCCGCTTGCCTCCCATCTCTCAGCTCTGCAAAGCCGAGGCCCTGCCCACCCTCGCGCAGCTCCACCGTATGCATCTGGAACGGGATGCCGTTTTTCTTGGCGAAGATATAAATGGCGCGACAGGGCTGGGACAGAAGGTCCAGGTAGAGCTCCAAGACCATGGCACAGGCAGCGGGAACCAACTGACTAGACTCTGAAAAAGAAACCCAAGCTGTGTCTGAAGTCGCGTCTAGCCCAAGTATGGCCACGCCTCCACTGGGCGGATCCCGGAGCCTGGCCCTTCTTTCTAAAGGGGAGCGGACCTGAGTCTGTCTTCCAAGAGACAGGCATCCGAAGTCTAGCACCTGGCGAGACAGAAAAGACTGTTGGCCTCACCTGAGTGGTCAGAGGAAGTGCAGAGAGGCCGGTTCCTAGTCCTTCTGTGACTGGCTTATTTGATGGCAAAATGTCTTCAAAGCCATCCTCACCCTGTCTAGTGTGTGAAAATTTCCAATCGTCCCCGTTTCCCAAACGGGAAAACTAACGCATTGCTTGATAGACACAAAATGTCTACCTTCAGCAGTTTCCTCCTAGGCTTACAAACCAAAGATATGGATGCCAGCAAGCAGCAAAGGCTCCGGCTGTGCTCCGTGTGCTGTGGTCTCTGGTGACAATCCAGTCGCAGCCCCACCTTGGACAAGGTTGGCCTTCCTGCTCCTGAGAGGGCTAGGTTCTCCGTTGTTCCTCAGGCATCTTAGCCGCCTTTGGACTGTGATAGCAAAGCGCCTTAGCTGTAGTTTTTTGAACATGGATGTACTGGTAGACCAAGATCCAGGCTCCTGCAGCTCCGTGTCTAGTGAAAGCTAGCTCTCTGCTTTAAGGTGGGCAACTCTTGGTGGAAGGAACATACCTTTCATGAAAGGTATTGGAATTCCCACGTAAAATCCCGTCCCCAAAGGCCCCACCCCTTAATAGTTTCCAGCAAATGGATTTATGGGTATCATCAATATCCAAACCATCAGACTGGATTTGCGTCTTCCTTTCAGCCTCAGTTTCTCCATCTTTAAACTGATTGATAGGCTAGAGCCCTTGGAAGCCCAGCACTCTGGACTCAGCCGTGAGTCCTCGGTCTGCACCTTGTCATTAAAGGACACTACCCCTCCCCCTCCCACGCAGAGCCTGCCTCCCATCTGGGCAAATGGTATCAGTGTTTCCCGTTATCTTAAGACAAGTCCAAGTGAAACTGTCAGCAGAGGCATGACATCTTCTATAGCGTAGGAAACATTTCTCCTGGGCCGAACACATGGCTCAGCTGTGGAGAGGAGCATTTGGTGCTGTCATAGAGGACCAGGAGTCAGATCCCAGCACTCACACTGGGTAGTTCACAACTCCCAAAAATTCCAGCTTTCGAGGAATCCGATGTTGTTTGGCCTCATGCAGGTACCAGCAGGCACATGGGTAAACACACACACACAAAAATAATTTTTTAAAGCTAAAAAATATTTCTGCAAAGAGGGTGGAAATTAGTAGCAATGATTGTTTGGGGGTGTGCTTTTAAACTCCATAGCTGGCGCTCTGCACTCTTCCCAGTTCCTGGTCTACAGTTGCTCTCCTGACCCTGTGGCTCCCTGATGCCAAGTGGCTAACCTCTGTGCCAACTAGTCTCAAGCACATTGGCATTTGTTCTTCTCCATTCTCCTTCCTTCCGGGAGCCGTGAGACTAAGAGTATGCCTGCCCTGGGGACTTTTTTAAAGCTCTAATAAATGGTTCTCAGAGCTAAAGTAATGGATCAGAGCTTAAGAGCATGGGCTACCTTTCCAGAGATTTTTAGGTTCTCCTAGATGCCTGCTAGGTCCAAAGTGCCCCCCAGGAACTCCAAAATAGCAGTGCTGATGGCAATGTCCTAAGCAGAAGGACTTTGATTGGATAAACAGAAGTCAGGTTTCTGTTTACCAGGAGCCTTATTTGATCCATTCCCAAAGATCAAGGCAAAGGTTGGGAAAGGACATCTGAAGTTCCAGGGCAATCCTATCAGCTAGTATCAGATCAAAGACTCCAACCCTGTTGACTTTTATATAAAATCTGCTTGCTTTTCTGACAGTTTGCTTTCCTGACCCCTCCCACACTGACACACAAAGGGATAACTGAAGCAGTCTGAACCCCAATAAACTGTTCTTTCTACCCATAAGTGGTTTCGCTGCACCCTCACTTACAATAAAGCACACTGGAGGGAGAAGCCTCCCCGCCTCATCGGACAACCCCACTCAGTAGGAAGAAGGCAAATTTGGTTGTCATCCAAACTCCATAAGTGGCAGAGGGGGAATAATGAAAACAGGTGGTACAGACAGAAAAGGGAGATCAGAGCCTGGGCCCAAAACTGTCCTTGAGTCTCTCCAAGAAATGCCAAAGGGGAGAGCTCTGGGCTCTTATCTCCTGAATGAACAACTCTGCCTAGACAGAATACACGATTAAAGTTCAAACCTGGGCCCAGAGACTAATCCCTCCTGGTGAACAACTTTGGAAACAAATCTCTAGATTCTCGTGATTAAAATGGGTTAGAGCCATTCCCCCAATTTCCTTCTTCAGGTATGTGGGTGATGGAAAGATGGAATCTACCCCTGGGCAGAGACCTGTTCCTGACTCCTCCTCTCAGGGTCAATCCCACCCCTAGGAAGACAGGTCCTACTCAAGAGAATGTGCTTCGATGCTTTCTGGTCCTTGGTCTTTTCCCCATTTGGAGCCGTGTAATTTTTAATAAGGAACTGTGATGGTTAATATGTCAACCCGACAAGATCTAGAGTCACCCATCAAGCAAACTTCTGGGCATGTCTGAGAGGGAGTTTCCAAGTTGGGTTAATTGGAGTGGGTTGCACTTCAGCAATAAAGGGGTAGAGAAAGCCGAATAAAGGGTTTCCTGTTTGCTGACAGGAGATGCAGTGTGAGCAGCTGCCTCACACTCACGCTGCCTAGCTTTCTCCACCTTCAAACCGAAGCAAGATAAGCCCTGCCCTTTGTTTGTCGATACAGCAAGAAAAGCAACTGATGCCCAAGCCCCTGAACTACCGGGTGGCCTAGCTGCTTACTGATTAAACTGTGCTTCTTAGATTTGGGTCACCAGCCATGTCTGTGTTTGTCAGAAATAGATTTTCTGCGAGCGGCTCTGAGTGGGGACAGAGTATTTTGCAAGTGGAGGCAGGACAGGGAGCACGGGATGATGCGGGGTGCAGAGGACGCTTGGGCTGAGCATAACTGGCTTCTTGAGTCCAAGGGCAAAAAGGCTGGGAGCAGCCAGGCCAGCCTTGTCTGAGAGAAGCCCCAGACTCCCTCTCCCAGCACTGCATTGTCCAGGGCTCTGAACTTTGCTGACTCACACATGAGTCCAGGGCCCAGGTGAGCTTAGCGCCTACTGTCCACAGGATTCAGGGAATAGGACACACAGCTAGCCAACTGCAGACTCTGCACGGATGCCACCAAATGTGTGAGGGTGTGACAATGCCGTGTGACAGACCCCTACAACTTACTCATCCTACAAACTGAAACTTTCCACTCATTAAACACTGACTCTTAGGGGGGGTGTACATGACTTGGTGGTTAGGGAAGCTCTTTAAGGGGACCAGAGATGCATTTCCAGCACCCATAACAAGTGGCTCACAATGGAGAGAGGTGCCTCCCTGCCTCATCTGACAACCCCACTCAGTAGGAAGAAGGCAAATTTGGTTGTCATCCAAACTCCGTAAGTGGCAGAGGGGGAATAATGAAAACAGGCGGTGCAGACAGAAAAGGAAGATCAGAGCCTGGGCCCAAAACTGTCCTTGAGTCTCTCCAAGAAATGCCAAAGGGGAGCTCTGGGCTCTTATCTTCCTCCTAAAGACCTGACACCCTCTTCTGAACTCCCCAGGTTAACCACAACACACATGTGCACATTCGCACAAACAACTGCACACAGAGACACACAAACAAAAGTGACTTCCCCATTGATACAGTCTATGAATGTGACCATTTTAGATACACATGGAGCCTTGCAGTATCTGTCACTGGCTGATTTCCCCAGAGCCATCTCTCCAGCCCCAGTTCATGCCTTTTTAATGGATGTCTTTACAGCTGTACAGTTTCTGCTGAGTTTTGCTTATTCTGTGTCCCATAAATTTTGGTATGCTTTTTCATTTTATGTGTCCAAGGTGTTAATTTCCCTGCTATTTCTCCTTTGGTCGGTGTCTGTGTAGGGGCATTGTTTGAATTCTACAGAATTGTGAACTTTTCTGGTTTTCTTTTTGTGAGCGTGTATATGCATGTGTGTGTTCATGCGTACAGGCACATATGTGTATAAAGGTCAACATTGGGTGTCTTCTTCAAGCACCTCGTCTTGTTTTTTTGAGACAGGCCTTGCTCGTTGAACCTGAACCAGACAGGATGACCAGTGAGCCCCATTGATCCTCCAGTCGCTGGCACACGGCACAGCACTGCTGGGCACCTGTACCCATGTTCTCATGTCTGTGTAACAATCTCCCTAGACCTAGACATACCTAGTCTTCCTTCTATCACACCTAATCTTCCTTCGGTTACTAATGCCTTTTTGAAACCTTTTATTGCATTTTTGTTTTGTGCGGGTATGTTGTGTGTGTGTGTGTGTGTGTGTGTGTGTGTGTGTGTGTGTGTGTGTGTGTTAGAGGACAGCTCTTGAGAGTTGGCTCCCTCCTTCAACCCTGGAGAGTCTCACAGATTCATTTGGTCATCTGGTTTGGCAGCAGTCCCCTTTATCTGATGCACCATCTCTCTGGCCCTGTTAATGATTGCTAATTTCATTCCATTTTTATTCAGAGAGTACAGTTTTCACGACTCAAGCTTCTTGAAGCTGAGACTTATTTATAATGAGCTCATATGGTGTCTGCTGATGGATATTCCATGTGAAGTTGAGAAAAAATGTAAATAAGCCACCCCAATGTTATGTTTTCACTTATAGGAGTTGCCGTGTTGATGGTGTCTCTTCACAGCAATAGGAACCCTAACTAAGACAGGAAGCAAGCACTTTACCCTCTGACCCATCTCCGCAGCCTCTTATATCTTTTTGGAAACCAAGATGACTTCAGACCACGTGCTCCCATACCAGTCTCTTTGCTGACACCAACTGTCCCTATAACAGTCATGGTGACTGTTCCAGTTTTTTTTTTTTTTATTAGATAAAGGAAGAGTGTTTCTTAGTGTCTTCCCTGAGGGAAGAGGCTCAGAAGGTGAAGACAGCCAGACCTTGCAGAATGAACTGCCTCTGGGATTACTTATATTTCTCCAGAAACTCAGACATCCTCAACTTGATTGAAGGGTCTAGTGTCGAAGAGTCCCAGTCTGGTAACTTCGCCAGTCGGTCGTGAGCCTCCCAGAAGAGGGAAGACCCGATGGCTAACTCCACCCGCATTCGCCATTCGGCAAGCTTGGAGCTGATGAAGACATTGTGGTTACTCCCCATTGGCTATGGATAAACAAAACGGAAGATGTGATCAGCATAGGCACCAGCCGCACTTGGGTCTTCTGTAGCCTCAAGGGTTACCCGCCCCTGCCTCTGCAAAGAGGGGGTCGTCTGCTGCCCCCAGAGTTCTTCTTGGCAAGGTGTCAAACTTGTGAAACAGGCATTGAAGGTCCTGTTCCAAGATGCTGCCTCCTGCCCCAAGTGCCTCGCATTTCTCTATGTATCTGCTTTCTTCTAGGGAAGAAGGAATGGAGCTCAACTGCCCCCTTCCCCCCATGTTGGACCTCCTTCTGTGATCAGGACGAGGGTAATAAGAGGAGCCTCAGAGTGCAAGCTGTTTAGCTGTATAGCTGCCCCGTTAAGAAATATGCACCCCAGGGTGACAGTGGCACACGCCCCTAATCCCTGTACTCGTGAGACAGAGGCAGTTGGATCTCTGTGATTTGAGGCCGGCTTGCTCGGTACACTAAAGTTGCTACTTTTCGTAGTGGCCAGAAATTATGATGGCCTCTCAAGACACTGGCTAATGGGCTGGGCATGTGGCTCAGTAGACAGAAGACTCACATAGCATGCACAAAGCAAGCCACAAACCAGGTATTGTGTTATAGACCTCTAATTCCCGCAAGAGGTAGTGGCAAGAGTATTAAAAGTTCAAGGTCATCTACAACTAAATAGTTTGAGGCCAACTATTTCCCCTATCTTAGAAAAAGATGACACATGAGAGTTCATGGCCTGGCAGCATGGCAGCATACAGCCTATCTTAGAAAAAGAAAGAGACACACAGAGAGAGAGAGAGAGAGAGAGAGAGAGAGAGAGAGAGAGAGAGAGAGAGAGAGAGAGAGAGAGAGAGAGATTGGAAGTGTCTAAATTGGCCATCCTGCACACACCTGCTAGCTCACATGAACTGAGCACACATGCCAAAGACATGAAAAGCCTGCACCCCTCCAGGTTTGCCTCCGATGCACAGTGGTATCCACTGCTCAGACCCAGAGTTGGGAGAGCGATCTTAACGCTGCTGCCTCTGGAGCTCTGGAAAAGAGGCAACTGGGAAAGACAACTCCAGGAATCTCTGTATACTGCCTGTAGAGTACAACAAGAGGAGCTGGGATCTCAGCTACTATAGCCCTGGTTTTCTCTGCGTCCCTGATATTAGCTAGTATAACCACGGTTTTCTCTACTTCCCTGGTGATCTTACCTACTAAAACCATGGTTTTATCTACTTCCCTGGTTCTCCCTCTGGCTCCTCACCGTGTACCCTGCCGATTCTAAACCTCTGACTTTTTTCCTGTCACTTCTAGGTGGGTCCCACAACCCTCAGGGTGGTCACACCTGCCTCTCTTGGTCTACCTTCAGATTGTGGTCCCTGGTCTCGGAACGATCTTCCCTCTTCCCGGACTTGTCTTCCCACATACCTGCATCATCTCCACCAGGGCCACCAAGTCAGCCAGTGAGATGTTGTCTCCAGTGATGAACATCTTGTCTTGCAGAAACTTCTCCTCAAATTGCTGTAGGTTTTTATTCGCCTCCTCCATTGTCCGCTCTATCTTCTCATCAGGAACCTGCTCGCCTGTGATCATTGGGATTAGCAACTGGGCAGGGAGAGAAGGGGACAGATGTAGAGGCAGTACTCCAGTCCTATCCCTCTTCCAGGCTTCAGCATCCGTCTGCTCAATAAAACTTGGACAGTTCTAAGGACATAAAGTAATTTCACTTTTTGGGCCATTGTCAAGTGGCAGTTACCAAGGGCCATGTGTAAAGATGGATTTGGAGGCCTGGATAACAATGAATCCTGTGGTTTGAGTATGTCTCATTGACCAAAGATTGATGTGCTGAGAATCCAGAACTCGTGGTAGTGTGATAGGGGCTGGAATCTTTAAAGCATGTAGTCTAACTTGGAGTGCTGCCTTCAGAAGGGATGGAGATAGACACAGTGCTTAAGAGAGAAAGCTGTTACTAAAGAGCAACAGTGGTGCCCTGCCCTAGCTCTGGCTTCCTGTCTTAGCAGGCCATCCAGCTTGCACTCAACTCCATTATAATAGCACCTTCCGAGCTGGTGCCATGCTGTTTAGACTTCCTGTTTCCTAAACTGTGAGCTAAGTAAACCTCTTTTCTTGGTAAGTTACCTGGCCTGGAGCATTTTACTATAGCAATGGGAAATGGACTAAAAACGCAAGCAGAGAATCAGAAGTAGGGATGTGTGTGCTGGCTGTCACCTTTAAGTTTACTGTTTGTTTGTTTCTAATTCAGAACGAAGTCTCCTGAGTCCTTTCCTGGCCCTTTCTAATTGTCCTTTGCCTTTGCCAACTTTGCTCCTACTTAAGTTCATCCCACACTCTGAGTAGCTCTGAAAGGTAGGCAGACATGGGATCAGGGGGAAAGAGGCTCAGCCAGCAGGACCAGGACTGCACTTCAGGCTTTCTGGCTGTTTCATTCCCCTGTTCTTGGGCCCCGGGCTCAACTATTCACCTTGATCCACAGTATCTTGCTCATGGGCTGCTGAATGGCTGTATGCTGCCAGGCCATGAACTCATCCACACGGGCGCGCATGTGCAGGTCCGGCGGGTACCAGTGGGAAGGTGCGCTGTACTTGCGGCATAGGTAGAAGAGGATGGCCACACTACAGGAAGGACAAGTACTTCTGAAAGCCCAGACATCACCCCAGCCACCGTCACAGGCAGACCCTAGGTGCTACGTTCCTGCAGGGAAAGGAGGGACCCAAAAGGCTCTAGGAAGCCTACCCCAAGCTGGCGTGTCAGACCATAATCAGCAAGACACGGAGGAAGACCTAACGGGCGCTCAGGAGTTGATGAATGGCATAAGAAAGGGCAATGACCCCACCCACCCAAAAACTGGGGGCAGTGGTGGCGCACACCTTTAAATCCAGCAACTCTGGAGGCAGAGGCAGGTGGATCTCTGTGAATTCGAGGCCCAGCCTGGTCCACAGAGAGAGAGATCCAGGACAGCCAGGGCTACACAGAGAAACCCTGTCTCGAAAAAATACAAAACAAAAGAAAACAAAACAAAAAGGAGGACAATGCTGGCTGGGCAAAGAATGGTAGGGTTCCAGAGGGAATGGAGCATCTCGAGAATGCGGAATGGAGAAGTGCGACCTGAGAGAAGATTTCTGTGGTGGGAGCAGAGGAACTGCCTGAGACACCGTGGGGATGAGTTCAGACTTAATTACCTTTTTAACTAATTCAGTTTGGGGTATGAGTGTTTTGCCTGTGTGTGTGTCTGTGAACCTCTTGTGTGTCTGGTCCCCTCACAGGCTGGAAGAAGGAGTCTGAAGTCCCAAAACTAGAGTTGCAGACTCTATGAAACACTATGAGTTCTGGGAGCCCGGGTCCTCCGGAAGAACAGCTAGTGCTCTTAGCTGAGGAGCCATCCATCTCTCCAGCCCCTAGGTGGATCTTCAAGTTTTTGAGGGATGAGAGGATATATCCCTCTAGTGAGAAGGGGTAGAACAAATCCCAGGAAGCCAAGACGATAACCCATCAAGAGGTATTGGTCTCCTGGGGGTGGGGGTGGAATGGGGGGTGGGGACCAAAGGCTACAGGAGAGAGGTTAGACCAGAGCCCTGCTTTACAGGGAGGGATAGCCCAGGCTCGCTAATTGACAGTGTAGGAAATGCCAAAGCATGGGAGAGCAGGTGTTCATCCACAACAAGGACACAAAGAGACCAGTCAGAAACAAAACAACAGAGGTTGACAAGGCTTGCAAGTCCCACTAAAGCTCAGATTGGCATTGAATTCCCATCAGGGGAGTTAGGTGGTAGACAGCTAAGGGTGATGGGTCACAAGGGCAGATTGACTCGTGCATGCCTAACTCTCTCTCTCTCTCTCTCTCTCTCTCTCTCTCTCTCTCTCTCTCTCTCTCTCTCTCTCTCTCTCTCTCTCCCTCCCTCTCTCTCTCCCCTCCCCACCCCTGAGCCTCACTTACCCATCATCTTGTAATTTCTATATTACCAGCACCCAAAGAGAAGGCAGATACTAAGCAGGCCCCAGTTCCAGTTTCCTGGGCCTTGCAGCTTCTAGAACCATGAGCTAAAGTCAACCTTCTGCTCTTTATAATCACCCACACTGCCATGTTCAGTCACAGCAACCCAAATTGGACTAAGACAGGAAACACAGACAAAGAAGGCCTTAAGAGGGACTGGAGTGGAGGCTCAGTGGTTAGAGCGCTTGTTGCTCTCTCAGAGGTCCCTGGTCTGGTTCCCAGCACCCACATGGTGGCTCACAACCACCCATAACTCTGGTTCCAGGAGACTTGATAAGCTCTTCTGGCCTCCCAGGCACCAGGCATGCACACGGTGCACATACATACATGTAGGTAAAATACTCGTGTATGTAAATGTGGGAGGGAGGGGGAGAGAGAAAGAGAGAAGAGAGAACCGAGTAAATAGTTATGAGAAGAACAGGTACTTGAGTATGAGTTGGCTAAGGATAAAGTCTGGGAAGGGTTGATAATTGTACTCGTCATGATGGTATTGGGTGATTACATACTAGAGTCTTCATTTCTTAGTGGGGCATTTCCTGGGTAAAATGATGGAGTGTCTGGAAGGAGGAGGAACAGAGTGGGGTACAGATGAGGCAAAGTGGATAGATAGCCACAGAGGCTAGAAGATGGAGGTGTGGGTTTGTTGAACTCTTGGATGATATTCATCGTTCGTCCGTGTGTGTGTGTGTGTGTGTGTGTGTGTGTGTGTGTAAAATTTTCTATAGCTTAAAAATAAATAAGTAAGCCGGGCATTGGTGGTGCGGCAGAGGCAGGCAGATCTCTGTGAGTTCGAGGCCGGGCTGGTCTACAGAGCTAGTTCCAGGACAGTCTCCAAAACAATACAGAGAAACCCTGTCTTGAAAAACCAAAATAAATAAATAAATAAATAAATAAATAAATAAGTAGGCCAGGCCTGGTGGTGTACACTTTAATCCCAGTACTTGGGATATAGAAATAGATGGATCTGTTTGTGTTTGAGGCCAGCCTTGTCTACATAGTGAGATCTAGGCCAGTCAAGGCTGCATAGAGAGACCTTGCCTTGTGCAGGTAAATAAAGAAAAAAACAAATTAATGAATGCTGGCAGGTGTGTTCCCACTGAGTCTCCCAGGGCGAGCAGAGATAGGCCCTTACCTTTCAGATAAGATGAACTTTCCGTCTCTGAGGCTGGGGAGCTTCCTCAGGGGGTTGATTTCGATGTATTCCTTGCTATGGTGGTGACCTGAGGGGCGCAGGGAGGGTCTGGGGCTTTGGGGACCCCAGGGAAAAGAGAACTTGGGCTTCTAGAGACAAAAGGGAGAAACTGAAGCCTCAAGGATCACATGGCTTGCCCCAGGTCAAGGGGAAAGCAGAGATATCACCATTGGGGGGTGGAGGGGCAGGATTAAGAAAGGTCCCTCCTCCCAGATTTCCACACCCCAGCCTTTGCGACCCTCTTTTCCAGGGATCAAACAGCCCCTTTGCTCCCAGAAGCTAGAAGTTCAGCCTTTACCCAAGACCGGAAACCACAACCTGTGAATCAACCTCAGTTCTAGGGACCTAAGTGCCACCTTCAGTCTCATTACTTCTCACTCTCTCTTGTCTCCCCTGTGAAGGGATTGGGCAGCTGAAATCTTGCAAATGCACCCAAGGTTCTGCGATATCTCCAGAGGACTCCACAGCAAGCAGGAATATTAACCCTGCTGACCAACTGATTGCAAGCGGAAAACCCTTACGGGGCTCTACCACACCTTATGCATTTCTGCAGCTCCCACATCTACCGCATGGTTTAGAAGCCGTGTCTCTTCTAATTGAATTTTAGAGACTCCTCAGTGTTGTGCATCCTGGTCCACTGATCCTCACCTGGGGTATGGGGGTTCCGTGCAACCTTGAGCACAACATTTGTTTTTCATTCTCCTCCTTTTCCTTCATTTTTTGTGTGTGTGCGTGTGTGTGTGTGTGTGTGTGTGTGTGTGTGTGTGTGTGTGTGTGTACATATACAAGCTGGGGATCAAAACCAGGGTCTTGCTTGTGGCATGATAGGCAAAAGTGCTTTATTGTTGAGACACAGTCCTAATCCTAGAGCAGGTTTGAACACTGGGGGAGGGTGGGCACAGGCTGGGGGAGGGTGGGCACAGACTGGGGGAGGGTAGGCACGGACTGGGGGAGGGTGGGCACAGGCTGGGGGAGGGTGGGCACAGACTGGGGGAGGTGGGCACGGACTGGGGGAGGGTGGGCACAGGCTGGGGGAGGGTGGGCACAGACTGGGGGAGGTGGGCACGGACTGGGGGAGGGTGGGCACAGACTGGGGGAGGGTGGGCACAGGCTGGGGGAGGGTGGGCACAGACTGGGGGAGGGTGGGCACAGACTGGGGGAGGGTGGGCACAGGCTGGGGGAGGGTGGGCACAGACTGGGGGAGGTGGGCACGGACTGGGGAGGGTGGGCACAGACTGGGGGAGGGTGGGCACAGGCTGGGGGAGGGTGGGCACAGGCTGGGGGAGGGTGGGCACAGGCTGAGTAACATATGCACTGTCACATGGTAGTGGGTCTGTGACCTGCACCAGCCTGGTTAGTGGGTGTCACGGATAACAAGATGTGAGATCTCCAAAGGTGATGACAAAAACTCTGGCTGAGAGTCTGAGACTCTCATAGCATTCCTCTCCCTTTACCCACAAAGACCCTACTCACCCCCACAGGGAGACAGTCACTCACGGTGTCTAGGGAAGGTAGGTTAGATAGGGACATGGCCTGAGCACCTTCACATCTGAGTCACCGCTGCTTCCCTTGCTGACCTTTGACCCTCAGAAACACTCTCACTGGGGCACTGGCAGCACCTCAGGACCAGGCTTGCTGGCAGCCCCGAGGACTGACCTTTCAGTAGGTCCACAAACTGGAAGTCAAAGGGGATGCCATTCTTCTTGGCAAAGATGTAGACAGCGCGGCAAGGCGCTGACAGCAAGTCCATGTAGAGTTCCAGGACCATGCTGGGATGCGTGCTGACCTCCACAGCCGCAGTGGGCACGCCGCCAACCTGGGCCCGTGGCTAGCCTGAGCACCTGGCTTGAGGCCCTCTCCCACCGGAGCTGACCACCCTGCATTCTGGAACTTACACCCCTTGATATTCTCATGAGGCCGGGAGACCTGGAATTCTTACAATAGCAGAGATTCTGAGGCGGCTTGGGGGTGTCGAGAGGCCCTCTGCTAGAGGGCTGGGACAGGTTCCTGTTGAGCATGTGCTCTGTGGCTCAGCCTCACAGGCATCTGTCTGAGAAGGGCTCATGTTGGAGCATCCCCGGGGCCAGGCCTTCTCTGCAGAATAGGACAAAAGGGGCTTAGCAGGTCCAGAATGAGGAAAAGACTGAGTTTGCATGGCCTGAACTAAAGACTGGGGTATCCAGGGAGTAAATCTACTCTGAAATGTGATTGGGAAAGAACTGGAAAGAGGTAGGTGCTACCTCTTGGTTTTGAATGACCTCTGAAGGCCATGCATTTAGGGTGTAGTCCCTACGGTGGTAGAGGGATATTTAAAAGGTGGGGCCTATAGAGCTGGTCATAGAGCCCAGCGGTAGAGTGTTTAGGTTGTAGCATATAGAAAGCCCAGGCTCCACCCCTACTACTGAAGGTAAATAGATCAAGATGAGTCCTGATAGGAGGTCTTGGTTCACTGAGGACATTTTCCTGAAGGGGACTGTAGAGTGGTAGTCTCCTCTTTCTTCTTTGTCTTCCTGGTCATGAGGTCAACTCTTCATTTTGCCACACTGCCCACCATATCTAACACCCCCTTCCCGAGACTTAAAAGCAATAGGTCCACCCAGTCGTGACTCTAGCTCTTTAAAATTTTGAGCCAAAATAGCCTATTTTTCCTTTTAAAAAATTTAGGGGCTAGAGAGATGCCCTGGTGGTAAAGAGCATTAGTTGCTCTTTCAGGGGACCTGGGTTCCATTCCCAGCACCCATGTGGAGGCTCACAACCATCTATAATCCAGTTCCACAGTGTTTATTGCCCTCTTCTGGCCTCTGCAGGCACCAGGCACGCACAGACAGACATGCAGACAAAACACATAATATAGAGTGTTTTTTTTCTTTAAACGTTTATTTTTATTTTGAAATGATGTATATGTGGGGGGAGATATGTGCAGTGTGAATGAGGATGCCCATAGAATCCACAAGAGGGCATAGGACCCCCTGGAGCTGAAGTGACAGGTGGTTGTAAGCGACCCAACATAGGTGCTAGGAACTGAACTCTGCTCCCCTGCAAGAGGAGTACACACCCTCATGTGCGGAGCCATCTCTCTAGATTCCCTTTCTTCTTTATAAGTTAACTGTCTAGGTACTTTGTTATAGCTATGGGAAACTAACACACTGAAGGAGTTCAGGGAGCCAAGGGACAACATTGAGGATGCTCAGAGTGTGGCCCACCAGACTGTACTATGCGTGAGCCCAACAACTCCTTGGTCTCGATCAAAGCAACATAGATCACACGGCACCTGGGAGTTTGGAAGAAGGTCACTAAAGACGCACAATGAGGCCACAGTGTGGCTTCAGGCTTTATGGTTATGTTAATTAATTTCCTTTTTCCTGCAGTAAAACACTTGACCAGAAAAGATTTACTTAGTCTCATAGTCTATCATGGTGGAAAGCCATAGAGGAAGGGTCTCGAGGCAGGGGGCCACATCGCTTCTAGAGTCAGGAACCAGAGAGTGGTGAACGTTGCTGCTCAGTCACATTTATTTTCTTGTACTCTGGGACCCAAGCCCAAAGAATGGTTTCCCCCACTTCAGTGTACCCAGTCAAGACAATCCCTCACAGGCATGGCCAGAGACATGTCTCCTAGGTGACTCTAGATCTTGTCAAGTTGATGATCACAATAATCTTGGAAGATGTCCTGTCTTTCCAGACCTCACTTCCACAGGACAATGTAAGACAAAGGACCAGGAGAGAGCTCAGAGCATGTCTGTAACACATCACTCAGGGCAGAAAGCAAGCTACTTCCCCTTCAACGAACACCTTCTGAAGCCACTGCACCAGCTTCTATGCCAGTGGAGGGTTGCGCCAAGCCCTATGGGTTCACTGGGGCTAGAGTCTGAACTTGTGAACTTCCTAGACTATTTCAGCTCCCAGCATCCAACAGCCAACTGAGGTCAAGCTATGGAGAGGCTATAGCCCATGGCTGCTGGCATGCAGGCATGAAGGCCTTTTATACTGGTTCCATGAATACCATCATACCTACCAGGGAGACCTGTAGCCATGAAGGCGTGGCCTTGTTGGAAGAAGTGTGTTACTGGGGGTGGGCTTTGAGGTCTCAGATGCTCAAGCCATACCCAGTGTTGTCATTTTCTTCCTGCTGCCTGTCAATGTGGATGTGGGTGTAGAACTCTCAGCTGCTTCTCCGGCACCATGTCTGTCTGTCTGCACGGCATCATGTCTGTCTGCACGCCACCATGTCTGTCTGCATGCCACCATGCTTCCCACTGTGATGATAATGGACTGAACCTCTGAAACTGTAAGCCAGCTTGCAGATGCACAGATTAAGATACATGGGACAAGGATACTATAGGTTAATTTTATTCAGGGAGAAGTCACTTACATGAGAAACTGATAACCCACAAGTTCTAGCTCTGAGGATCAACGCCCAGCTGTTCTCCATGACCCGACCGGAACCAAGAGAGAGCAAGCCTGTCCTGGACCCCAGACCAAATCTCACACGCTCATGTATTCACCTGTGGCCATGCACAAATGGTGAGGCTAGTTGGATCTCTCACTTCAATTCCCCTTTTAGTCTAAAGAAAAAGATTTAGACTTGGTACAAAACTATATACAAAGATAGTAAGTATCAAGTATGCTCTAGGAGAAGGAAAAGTAAGAACAAACACATTTAAGACTTATCACCAGTGAAGCAACTAGAGCAAAAGGTAAGAACCACATATCCAGTCCTAGGGTAAAGGCATAACAGAGTTTACTACAGAGTTGTCCTAAGCTGGAAAGCTTAAGTCTTGTACCTAATATTTCTATCTAGGAAGAGAAAGCAATAATTGTGACAGTCTAATCTTCAACCTCACCAATAATAATAAACACTGAGATGGGCAGGATAATTCAGAGCAGGTTGTTAGGGCCTCTGCTATGTCACAGTGATTATATACTGCCATATTCAAGGCTTGCATCCCTGCCAGCCATCAACCCTACTGTGAAGAATTTCCTGGATTCCAGGACATGACTCCAAAGGTGATGCCCAAAGATCTGAGCAACATGCTTCCCAGAAACCTGAGTTCTAAGTCTCCCCTCCTTCCCCTCTCCTCCCCTCTTAGCTCCTAGGTGTCTTCCCATGGTTCCCTAGCCCTGGGAACACTGACTTCCTGCAATGGTGACTTCTGTGATAAGCTACCTGTCTTTAAGTATGTTAATATCTTGTTAATAACTTTTTTCTACATTACATTTTACATTTATAGGAATGCCATGACACACTTGTGAAAGTCACAGGACAATTCGCTGCAGTTGGTTCTCTCATTCCACTGTTTGGGTTCTGGAGATGGAACACAGGTTATCTGTCAGCTTTGGTTGTAAGTATCCTTACAGGCTGATCCATCCATCTGGTCGACCTCTTAATTCTTTATATTAAATCCTTTCTCTTGTGAGTGTCCCTCCCCCGCCCCTCGTGGACACACATGGAGGTTTGCATAACAATGTAGATAAATCCTACTGTTTGTTGTTATTAGGGAACTCTCTGGAAAGCTAGGAGTGTTTGCCCAAAGAAATCTTTTGTGTCCTATACTTCAAAGACCAACTCTTGTAAAAAGATCATCTGTATCTCTGAATAGGTTGTTGTTTACTAACTTCTGGCTTGTGTAATAATTTTATATGGATTTGTTATCTGTGACTTTCCTTTAACTATCCATAATGTTTACTGAGACATACATATTATAGGACAATTTCATAAAATCAATAACTCTTTATGCCTTAAAATAGACCTTTTTATAATAAAATACAGATGTGTAGCAACTATTGAATGGTTTGTTTTTCTTTGTGTTACTGATTTTTAGCATAACTGATTTTGGCCTCTTGTTGGTCTTGTATACCAACAAGAGAAGCATGGTAAGAATACTTGGTGTCCCTTTTGTGCAAAGTTCGTCCCAGAGCCAGGGAAGGGGGCAGAAAGGACTGGGACAAGTAGAAAAGATACTGCTGGTCAGACCACTCAGGGAATCCTAGCAATTCAAAGCAGCATGGTATGATGAGTTTGGGGGGGGAGGGACGCCTCTGGTATTGTTTGCTGTTGTTGTTGTTGTTTTTGACTGCCTGTCCAGTATGCTCGTGATGGCACTGTGAGCCTGCTCACAGATCAGTACCTAAGAATGCCTCCACCCGCTCTCGCCATGCTGTCGGTCATGGCCTTCCCTCAAACAGATTATAGCCAAGAGCCACTGGCTACAGGGACAAAAAAGTGAGAGTTGGAGAGTTAATGAGACTGCATTGCTGGCAACTCAGCACAGACATCATGGACACAGCCCCACAGGAGGTCCAGACAGTGTGACCCATTCCAGGACCCAACAGTAGCCAGAAGCTGCCTCCCACCCAGGCAAGAAAGAAGTCACTCAGGCAGAACAACAGAAGTACTCAGTATGTAACCTTGATTCTTACTGGGTTCCCAACGTTCGATCCCTCCCCAGGGGACCATGTATACCTTGGCCCACAGGAGCACTCCACAGGTACCACGGATTCTATCAGCATGCCAGCCTAGGTACTCATGGACTCAGGCACAGACCTTCAGGTCAGCTGGGTACCAGTGATCTGCCACCTGGTACTTGGAACACAGGTAAGTCAGGATGGCTAAGCTGGGGACCATGCCCAGAGGGGCTGTAAGGGCCTTGGCTGTTTCCCATTCTTCAGTGGGGCCTCGGGGATTCTCACATTTGAAGCAGTCCCTTCTAGTCTTGTCTCATCCCCTATCCCTGTCTCTGCTCCATCTTCTCTGCAGTGCTGTGCATGGAAACCAGGGACACACAGGCACGCAGGCAGCACGAGCTCTGTCCTCCAGCTCTCCCCTTCCGTTCATGTCCTGACACTGGCAACCGGCCAGATCTTCTGCTCTCTGCCTCTTGAGGCTTCATCTGTATGGT